TCTTGACTCCGTATACCTAGACGATTTAGTGATTTACTTTCGTATACTCCAAACTCGTGTTATCACGTGGAATATATCACAATTGGCAGGCTTAACTCTGTACATGTCCTCCATACAAAGATAAATCCGCCTCAGAATAGCAGGAGGAGGAGAGGAATGATATGATGAACCTCTTCTCTCAGAAGAGGAAGATTTAAGTGAATCACAGCATTTTGAACGGTCGATCCTCCATCTTTTAAGGTGTGGCTACATACGGTATATTAGCCACGCCTTGTTTTTTTTGCAGCAACCAGCCCCACCCTTTTGTAGCTGTGCCTCTTTTTGCTGTTTTGCCGCCTCTTTTGTTGTGAGTCTCTTTTTCTGGTGCATTTCCATTTAGATCTACAGGAAAGCTTGTTCCTTTGATTAACTAGTGAAGGTTACTCTTACCTTGCAGTACTAGAAAGGATCTTTATTGTGGTGTAAGTGATCACTGAAATAGCTACACCTTAAGTTACCTAATTCTCTCATTGTCCTCCATACTATAGTACAAGATGATTGATGTCTCTCAATGGAGAGCAAGTATTGGACTGTGGAACTACTGTCAAGCTGCTTCCAGTAGACCAGCTAATGGCCGCCACTCTCACTCATTCAAAGCTGCAGTAGACAGCAAGTCAGGCAGTACTACATCAGGAAAGAAGACATCTAAATTGCCAGCCGCTCTGTCTCTTATTGCTTTACTCCTCCTCCTCTTTCTCTCTCTCTCTTTATTAAGACACATCTTGATGATTCCTTCAACAGGTAAACAACAATTGCAACTTTGTACTTGTATATTTACTGGTATTTTATTATTAGGTAACTGCTACCAAGCACAATGTACTACTGGTGTTACTGTTACTGATATGAATTACCTCCAGTCAGTAGTCTTACCTGGAGGCAGCAGTTCTAACCTGATTTACAATGATCTCTATTTGATTGTTTGTCTACGTACACTCCTCCTCTTATCAGGAGGTGTTGAACTCAATCCTGGTCCTATGATTGATGATCAACCATCTTGTCTCTTATTTGCAAAGTGTCTTAAACCAGTTGTTGACTGGAAACGATTTGCTCTTTGTCTTCCTGGAATAACACAATCTGATGTCAGCATAATTAATAAAACGAAAAGAAATGCTCACCTCATGAAAATGGCTTTACATAAGAGATGGTTACAGGCTAATCCTACAGCATCTTGGAGAGATGTCATTAATGCTTTGAAACAATGTAAAGAGAATGAACTAGCTAGAACTATTGAAAACAAAGTGACAGACCCCACAGCTGAAAGAAGTACTAATGATAATATGGAAGTCAGTACCAGTAATGCTAATCCTGGTCCTATAACAGGTAAGCATTTAATACAACACTCATTAACTGATACACTACTGCAGGTAATCCAAAGGATATATTAAGGACTCATTCTGATAAACTCACTGATGCTATTACTACTAACCTTTACAGAGTAACTGATGCACTGTATGCTGAAGGACTGATACCACTAGATACTAAAGAGAATATACAAACAGTAACAGGAATATCTGATTATAGGAAATCAAGTCAATTAGTGTCTGTGATACAACGACAGTTAGAATCCTCTCTTAATCCAAAGCAGTATCTTATTGATATATGTCATGTATTAATAAACCAACAACATCGTACACTAACAGATATTGCTACCTCTATATTACACCAGTTAGGTGAGTGTGTGTTTGTGTTATTGTCATTATATTATCATTTTATCATTTATCATTATTATCAATATTATCATTTTGTAGCATTTATATCTTTTATTTAGTGGCAGATCCTGTTAGTGAGATATTGCAGTGTTATATTGGTAGACTAGCTCAAGTTGTTCTTACTGAGGAATCAGTTGATCTCTTACATACAGAGGGATTGATATCTAAGGAGACATTAACAGAAGTGAAGAGTTGCGGTTGTTCATTGGTAGGAGATCCAATGTTACTAATACTAAGTGCTGTAGCTGAAGATCATAGCAAGTTATGTACTCTGACAAGCATTCTAATGAAATCAAAGGAAGCAATGTCTTTAGCTAGTGATATAAAAATGGAATATGGTAAATGAATAGTTTTATAAATACACTTAACTTATTTATATTCTAATACAATAGGAAAGTCATTTCCCTCAGCAGTAACAGTGATGCCATCTTGT